TCTCGCAGAGCAGACTTCCACAAAACACGAGGAAAATATGGCACTCGCCGGGGTCCCAACAAAGCGTTATATTTTCATAGCCCCGTCGCTCGAAAACACGCTAGGGGAGGGGCTGCGGGCCGCGCGTGGCGTGGCGTGGCGGAGCTCGCTGCCAGGAAAGGTTGGCGTTGTCCGCGGGGCAGCACGCCGTTGTGGTGCGCATGTGAGCCCAAGTAAGGAGACCACGATGTCCACCTGGGCGGTTCACGGGGCCGCGACGCGGACATGGAGGCGAGCACGTGGGCGTCAATAACGCTGGTGCGGAAACACTATGTGTGACCAAGCTCGAGAACACGGGATAGCAGGTGCGGGAGGACGGGTAGTACGCTGTCAAAAGCACACAATGCAGGTCGGCGGGCGCATCACGGGTATGGGCGCAGCGTGTAAAAATTTCGAACTACGACCCTACTTTGAAACGATATAAAACTGGTTTCCCGATGAGTGAGGTGATCGCCCACTTCAGGATCTGTTCAGTTTTACTAGAGTAATCTACAGGCGAAGTCGGGGGGTTTCCCGATGAGTGAGGTGATCGCCCACTTCAGGATCTGTTCAGTTTTACTAGAGTAATCTACAGGCGAAGTCGGGGCGCTGTAGCTTAAATACTTTCCGAGAAAATCGCGATTTACATATTTTTTCCGACATCGGCCTGCCGAAAAGGTGCTTTCTCGGGCCGACCGGGGCGCTGGGCCGCGCGCCCAGCCAATGGGCTGGCTTGCAAACCTGTGACTCTTACACCGGTGTCTGAGCGCGGGCCTGGAGTGTGGTCTGGTAGCTCAGAGAGTTGCGTGCTGGATCGCTACTCATTTCGGCTCTCCGTGTCGTAGGTTCGACTCTTGACTTTTGGGGGGATTTTTTTTTTATCATTTTTACCCCAGCTAATTTAGACTAGCCAGGAATGTTCGGCTTGTGAATATAAACTGCCCTGCAAAGCCAGGTCACTCTGGGATGAATAGTTTCCGAGAATACGGTGTTCTACGAACTTGCCCTTACTGCTACTTTGAATCGATATAAAACTGCAGTCCCTGCGCGTGCGGTGATTGCCAACATTAGGATCAGTTCAGTTTTACTAGAGTAATTCACAGCCAAAATCTGGACGTTGCAGCTATAATAGGTCCAGAGCTAGAGTCGATTTACGTTGAAATTTCTCTCACGCAGCGGCCGAATGGGTGGGGGCACTGCTGGCTCCCCGGGCCGGAGGCCGTTTGACGGATCTGCAGGGCATGCCTTTTATATCAGTGTCATCCCGGTGTGTGGTCTGGTGGCTCAGGAAGTTGGTGAAAAACAGAAATCACCTCTGAGTGAGTCACCGATTGGATTGAGATGGGGGAAGGGGGGCAGTGTTGAGTGGTGAGCGGATAGCAGTGGCAAAACTTAAATAGCCCCCTTGCGGAAGGTGAAACACTTGGCTCCACCA